TTCCTCTATTAACCTTCTCGCCCTATTCTCGAGTACCATCGACTTGGAAACGGAAAAATTTGGTGAAACGAAACGATTGCACATGGTTCTTGCGGGCCAAAGAACACGCACGACACAAAAACGTAACATCGTCTACGTGTCGCATTACGAAACGCGACACGCGCATTTTTATTCACGACCGCTACCGTTTCGCGCGCGGCACTCCGCCAAACATACTTAAAACGTGTTATCGTAAGCATCGATGGTACGCCACTTTTTGCCAACCGAACAACGGTGGTCGCTCGTTAACACAGCGGGGTGTATCAGCGGTTGGTATCAATTTTCAGGACCACGTTGTTCCAATCTCCTCGCCATTTAATTAACCGGGACAGCCCCGCACCGTTTTATACGTGGTTTGTCGCCACTTCCACGCCATCGTTCCCAATTTCTTTTCCTTTTCTTTCCCCTCCCCCCCTCTTCCTCCCCCTTTTAATTTAAGATGTATCGTCTTTTAAACCGCTCGTTGCCCAATTATCCCCGTTTGCACTGCTAATTAAAAACCTTGCGCCGGATTATCGCCGAGAGAACGAGATGAAGTGTCGCGAGGTGGTGTCGCATCTCAATTTTCGAAATTCCACCGGAGAAGGAGAGGGGAGAATCTTTGGTGGACCAGAAATTGAATATCGATGAATCCTTTAATTGGGATTTATTAACGTTTTTTGATTCGTGGAATATTTCCAACGATTTTTATTATATCGATTCTCTTCTATCTATTCGTTTTCGTGAGAAAAATGAAAGAAGAATTTTCAAACTTTGCCCACTTCTTCCAATTCGACCAATCACATCCTAATTTTATTCAAACCTGAAATTTAATCCTAATCCAAATTTAACGTCTCGATTCCACTTTCTCCTTCTCGTTTAAAATTCTCGGTGCCATTCCCCGCCCATTTCGAGTATAACCGACCGAAAATAATCCTCGGGAGGACATCGTCCTCGTAACATCGTCCATTCGAATTCCTGGCGCAACGCTCTCGGAGTTAAATAAGAACAATCGAAAGCCAGGATTACCGTATCGGGGCCAGAAGGGAAAAAATCGGAAGGAATTTCGAGGCAAGGATTGGAATCCGAGGAGGATCGACGGATGCTAGTAGTAATTAGCTGCTACGAGGGGACCTGGTCGATCGATTAAACGCGATTAATCGGTGGATTTCTGTTTCTCCGCGTTGGACGGATGATTGATAACGCTCGTGGTAGTTTTGATAATTACGAAGTGGCTAGGTCTCGATACTCTGATTTCTACAAATGAAGGTTGCTGCAGGTTTCTTCAGGATAAAAATGAGAACCAGAGTTCGATCGTTGAGATCATTTTTTCTTTTTCTTCTTTTTGTGATTTTTAAAGGGTGAACTTGGATTACGAAATTGAATGAGAATTTGTAATCTGGAATATTAATTTTTGAGAGTTTATGAAGATTTTCGAGAGAGAGAGAGAGAGAGAGAGAGAGAGAGAGA